CCGTCTGCTATGTACATTGGACAAACGTCTCAGACACTTCGCCAAAGGATCAATGCCCACAAAACAGAAATTAGACAGGATCACAAAGAAAAAACAGTTTCTTGCCATTTCAACCAGAAAGGACACTGTCTCAACAACTTAATTACCTGCATCCTGCTTCAAAAGCCTTTTAAGACTGCACTCGAAAGAGAATCCTCTGAACTGTTATTCATGCTTAAATTTGACACTTTACACCTAGGTCTGAATAAAGAATCTAATTATCTTACCCATTACAAAGATAGCCTCCCTAATTATCACCTCTAATATCATTGGCTCACAGACATTTACCTTCCCCCCCATCCCCCTTCTGTTCTGAAATTTGATTTGTCCTTTTCATATGTGTTCATTTTTTTTAATTGTATCCTTTGGTATATATGATTGTGACAATTTTCTTCCACTATTTGATCTGAGGAAGTGGGTCTGGCCCATGAAATCTCATCACCTAATAAACCATCTTGTTAGTCTTTAAAGTGCTGCATAGTCCTGTATTTTGTTTAAGCAACACCAGACTAACACGGCTACATTTCTATCAAGGCTTCCAGAGCCTTTCTGTCCAGACTCTCATACTGTTGCTGACTCATTGCAGCGGCTCTTCAACCAACCAAACTCTCAACACACAGAAATCAAATTTAGAACAGTGTGAGGTCCTGATGCAAAGCTCAGTTGACCAAGATCTGTGGATCCTGCCGACTACGCCACTGTGACGGACCGGGCCAGGTCTGGGAACACCTGGGGGCGTCCATTCAGGGTGAATTGCTCAAACTTGGGGCTCCTTACAGCCCCAGACTGGAGACCTTTCCAGATAGGCCAGAAACCAGTCACACTGAGAACTCCAGCTGCCTATCTGACCGGCCTCACGAGCAAAACCCCTCCAACAACCCAGCTCCCACTGTGCCACAATCAGCCCCAGGCCTAACACACAGGTGAGGGGTTATAGAACACAATCTTATCTACCCCGAACAGGTTCTTCCGGTCCCAAGAAACGAGCCACAGTTCCCAGTCTATTTACACTCTGGATCACGCTGGGCCAATCCTTTAGAATCTAAAACCTAAAGGTTTATTCATAAAAGAAAGAAAAGCCTGAGAGTAAGGTTGTTAAGGAGAATACATTACATGCATCGAATCACCCAGTTCTTGATACAGGCTCTTAGCAGAGATGTTATAAACTGCTATCTTAAAAGTCTCTGGTGTACATCCTATGTCAGGATGGGTCCACAGTTCTTTCCGGCTCCCTATTCCTCACAAGGCTGCATCTGGAATCAGTAGCTGAACTGAAGACAAAATGGAAATTGCCTCATGGCATTTTATATCCATCCCTGGTCTCTTCCAAGCTGGAACAGGTCATGTGGCCCAGTGACCTATCCTTGTGTCCCAAGTCAGCAATCATTATTCTGGCTGGTCTGCAGGTTCCAGATTTCCAGAGGCATTCCCCAGGTGTGTGTTGGCACCTAGAGATCCATTGTCCCTGTAGCCTTGCTCATTAGCATAGACACTGAACAAACATTCCTGGCCCATTGTTCTGCCTCAGAGAGAGAATTTTCCATCATCAACACAGAGGACGTGTTTATAACGCCATGTACAGATATTATACATCTACAGAATCAGTAGAACAGATGCTTTCATTTAACATCTCAAATGACCCCCTTGTTCAGACCTTTGGGGCAAACACCCCCCATGGGTGCAACAGTGATCTTTAGAATCCAATAACGTGGCCGCACCCCCGCTCCCACTTTCCCTTGGCCTCTTCCGCACCCCACCTGCCCACTCTGCACCCCTCAAGTGCAGAGCCAGCTGCCTTCCACACTTCTGCACCCCTGGCACTAGGCACTAGCTATGCACAAGGCTACCCTGTAAATGGCTAGCGTTCAGAGAGGATAACAGCTCATCTACTGCTGCAACTAGGGGAGCGCTCCTTTAGCTCCTGCACTGTCCCCCTGTGTTGCTGCAGCAGCAGGAGGGGAGCTTTCAGCTCCCCAGGGCCAGAGGGAAATAGGGTTAAGATATAGGGTGAAACAGCCCGATCTTGCTCTCCCTTCCCCTGCTGACTGGCAGAGGAACAGAATCTCACCAAGGGATGAGTCATCAGTGGCAGGATGTGACAACTCAGAGGCAATGGGGGGGTGTCTCAGATCGACTGGAGCTACAATCAGTTTTCAAACAGTGCCCTAGAGCAGTGTTTCTCAACCAGTGGTATGCATACCCTTAGGGCAGGGTTTCCCAACCGATGGGTCTGGACCCAAATATGGGTCGCCATTACATTTCAAAAGGGTCGCCAGGTGTCTCCCCAGGTGGCTCTTAAGGAGCCATTCACACATTTTTTGAATTGCCCTAGGTCACCAGGTCTTCCTGAATTGTCAAAATAGGTCCCCATCTGGAAAAGATTGGGAACCGCTGCCTTAGGGATACTTCAGTGAAGTCTGGGCAGTACGTCAACACAACTGAAATTTGGAGAAAACTGAATTTTTGTTTTAAGTTTTACAGCGCTTTATTATTTTCGTACTTTTTACACCCCAAAATTTCATCACCCACCCGGCTACAATTAAGTTGTTTAAACAAATGTGGTGCAACGGTAGAAAAAAATGTTGTGTGTCTGAAAACTGTAGGTACTGGAGGTACTTACAATTTTTTTAAAGGGGTACTTTATAAAAAAAAAGGTTGAGAAACCGTGCCTTAGAGCTTCTGAGCGCCAGGCCTCTTGCTTTGTGCTGGGAGCTCTGCTCGGATGCGTGGTTAGAGCCTTTCACCCTCTCCAGGGCCCTGGGTTCCCCACACCGTGTTTGCAATGACACTGGGCAGCTTTCCCAGCCACAGTAGGGGTCGTTTACCTGCCAGCACGGGGAGTCCAGAGGGGAGGAACAGAGGGACAAATGTTCAGAAATCCTCTGTCCTGGCCAGCACCAGGGCTCTGTGAACCATGCCCCTGCTGTGAGAACCCGCCAAGTTTCCTTTCTCTCGCTCTTTGTCCCTCAGCCTCAGGTGAGAGAGGGCAGCTAAGTTCACATGTTCAGCCTGCTGGGAGCCCTTGCGGATAGGTGGCAGTTCAGTCACTGGGGTTTCCATTGCTCTGGGATGGGCCCAGTCAGAACCAAAGGACCCAAAGCCAGTTGAGCTGGCCCCGGCCTGCTCAGCACCCCCCCCTTTCCTGGCCCACACACCTGCAAACACAACCAAGATGCTGGGAGTCACTAACGCCTGCCCTAGGCCCCAATCTCCTCCCGCTAATCCTGAGCCTCTGCCCTGGAGATGGGGTGATGTGGCCCCGCTTCCCGTTGCCATGGTCACGTGTCCCCATAGGAACTGGAGGAGTCACCTGGCGACCCACAGTGGTTGGAGACCATCGAGAAGGACATCCATCGCCAGTTCCCCTTCCACGAGATGTTCCTATCGCCTGAGGGGCACGGGTAAGAGAGCAGGGCGGCCAAGAGCTGCAGGAGCAGAGGGGAAGCCCTGCGAGGGCGGACGCCTGAGATGTCCCTGCAGCTGGAGGGGGTGTTGAGTCCTGCCCCCCCCCAGCTCAGTACAAATCCTGGCTGGGCAGCAGTGGCCCAGTGTGGCCCTCTCTCCCCACTGAGACCCGCTTCCTGTGGCTCTAATTGGAGAGCAAGGAATGTCCGAGGGGGAGTGGGGACTGGACTGGGATCGGAAGCCAGAAACCCCACAACACACACAGAGACACTGGGGCAACCTGCAGCTGAACGGCGCCCCCTAGGGAGTGCCCTGCTGGGCAGCAGTTCCCCCCCATGCCCTGGAGAGAGGGGGAGAGCGTGGCCCATCTGTCTATCAATCCCCACCCGCACTCCTCTGCCTCCCTCCCTCTGTCCACGCACCCCACAGCCTCCCCTCTGTATCTGGTTCTATGTCGCCGTCTGGCCTCGGAACACTTGGGGTGCGGGGAGGGCATGACATGGGTGGGCTAAATGGGCCCACTGGTCAAGTCGGGGGGCAGGAGGGAGCTCGGCACTGGCCACCCCATAGCCCAGCTCTAACACCTGGCCCCATCTGTGCAGGCAGCGAGGGCTCCTGCAGCTCCTGAAGGCCTACACCGTGTACCGGCCCCACGAGGGCTACTGCCAGGCCCAGGGCCCCGTGGCCGCAGTGCTGCTCATGCACATGCCTGCTGAGGTGAGTTGTGCCCCACGGCTACTGGGAACCCCGCATGGGGCACCACCCTCCACTGCACTGCTCTGGCACCCCTCCCCACTGCCCAGCCCCCCACACCAGGCTCCCTCCTCACTGCCCTTCCCTCCACCCCAGATACGGTTGCCAGGTGTCCGGTATTCACCCGGACAGTCTGGTGTTTTCGCCTCCTGTCCAGTAAAAAAAATTCAGAGAATACCGGACACCTAAAATGTCCAGTATTTTCTGAATTTTTCCCCCGCCAGGAGGTGAAAATGCCGGGCACTTGGCAACCCTACAAACACTCAGCACCCGGCCTCCCCCAACACCCGCAGCCCCCATGCTTACCTGGTTCCGCAAGGCTGCCGGCACAAAATGGCTGATGACCAAGGGGAAGCAATGCTTCCCTCCATCTTAGTGCTCAACCGCTCCCCTGTTCCTATCCCTGCACTCACTCTTAAAGGGGACATGCTGTTTTAATGCTGGGTTTTTTTTCTTAATAGCTTAATAAGTCTTGGAGTCCCCCCTTTTTTTTTGGCTCAACAACTTTGGTCTCCGCCCCTCCCCCCACTTTTTTTCCCCTTCAAAATAATTTTTTCCCGGTGTTTTTTTTTGGGGGGGAGGAGGGGTTGGTATTTTTGTTTCAACCATCTGGCAACCCTACTCTTGCATCCTCCCTCACACTCCTCCCCACTGCTCTGCCCCCCATACCATGCACCCCTCCTCACTGCCCTGTCCCCCATACCAGGCACCCTCCTTATTGCCCTTCCCTCCAGCCCAGATACCCCTCCCCACTGCCGTGTCCCCCACACCAGGTACCCCTCCCCACTGCTCTGCCCCCTACACTAGACAGCCCTCCTCACTGCCCTGCCGCCCACACCAGGCACCCTTCTCACTGCCCTGCCGCCCACACCAGGCACCCTTCTCACTGCCCTGCCCCTGTTGTCTTATCCCACCCTATTCTGCTGCCCAGTGCTGCCTTGTGGGGCACCCACCCACTGCCCTACCCCTGTCCCTATTCTCCTGAACCCACAGCAGGCACCTGCCCTCACAGCCCTGCCCCACCCAGCCATGCAACCTCCCCCACTCTTCTGCCCTGTGAGGCAACCACATCCACTCATGGGCTCTGGCCCCTACTGGCCATCCCCTCACAGGCTGCTCTCCCTCCCGCCCATGGGTCACCAATCCTCATTAGCCACCACCCTCTGGCCTCTTTCCTGTGCACAAAACACTCCTCCCTTGCATAAACGCTGTGCCCCTCCCCTGTCTGGCCTCCGCACCTTTTCTCTGTTCACTGCCCCACCACCTGTGCTCTGGGGATCCCGATGTGCCCCCCCGGCTAACGTCTCCCCCTCCTTTGCAGCAAGCCTTCTGGTGCCTGGTGCAGATCAGTGAGCACTAGAGATGGTGAGAGACCCCCCTGCGCCCCTCCCCCAGGGTGGGAATTCCACAATCATGGTCTGCCAAATTCACAGTCCGTTTTGGTCAATTTTGTGGTCATAGGGTTTTTAAAATCATAAATGTCATGATGTCGGCTATCTCGATCTGAAATGCCACGGGGCTGTAATTGTAAGGGTCCCGACCCAAAAATGGAGTTGTGGGGTGGGGTCACAAAGGTAATTACAGCGAGTGGTAGGACAGGACTGCTACTCTTACTTCTCCACTGCTGATCAGCGGTGGATTTAGGGCAGGGCGAGCGGGGCGGCTGCCCCGGGCCCCGTGCTTCCCGAGGCCCCGCGCATGCGCCGTGTCAAAGGCGGGGCCCCGCAAAATTTCACTGCCCGGGGCCCCGCGGTGCTGCCCTGGGTCCCGTGGCACTCTCATCCGCCCCTGCTGCTGATGACGGCAGCGCTGCCTTCAGAGCTGGCCAGTTGGCAAGCAACAGCTGCTGGCCAGGAGCCCAGCTGTGAAGGCAAAGCCACCGCCAGCAGCAGCACAGAAGTAAGGATGATCTGGTGGGGTGTTGCCTTCCTTCTTCACTGCCGCTGGCAGGACTCTGCCTTCAGAATTGGGTGCCCAGCCAATAGTTCTCACTCTCTGGCTACCAAGCTCTGAGAGCCGCGCAGAAGTGAGAGGGTGGCAATACTACAACCTCTCTGCAAATCCCTTTTGGGCAGGACCCCCTGCTTGAGAAGCACTGGTCTCCTCCAAGAAATCTGTATAGTAAAAGGTAAAAGCACACGAAAGACCAGATTTCACAGCGGGAGGCCAGATTTCATGGTCTGTGGTGCATTTTTTCATGGCCATGACTTTGGTAGGACCCGACTTAAGACATGTACCACGAAGTGAGCAAGGGGTGGGAGGAATTTGCACTGCCCAGCCCTGTCCTCTCCAACAGGAGGTGCTGGGACACCAGGGAAGGGGAGGAGCCTGAACTGCCTAACCCCACCCTCCCCAGCAGGGGGCCCTGGGACACCTGGGCAGGGGAGGAACCTGCATTGCCCAGCCCCACCCTCCACAGCCAGAAAGAGCTGTGGGGCTAGAGCGGGTGTGCTTGGCAATGGGGTGTGGGTGCAGCAGGCAGATCTGACAGGCTCTTGGTTGCCCCCACAGGAGGCGGTGCTGCTGGATGGCGAGGTCTTTGTGGCGCTGCTGCGGCGTGTCTGCCCCAAGGCCTACAAGCACTTGCAGAAGCACGGGGTGGGGCCACTGCTCTATGTCACTGAGTGGTTCCTGTGCCTCTACAGCCGCACCCTGCCCTTCCCCACCGTGCTGCGCATCTGGGACGCCTTCCTCAGCGAGGGTACGTGAGGCCCTGGCTCAGCCCAGAGTTCCACCCACTGCCAGCTACCCAGCCGGAGCTGTGTTGGGGGCATGAGCTCACGGGTCCTGAACAATGTATGGCTCCCCCAGGGCTGAGACAACCTGGATGCCCTGGTCGTGTTTTCTTGGTTGTTTCATAGCTTCCCACAAGCCTGCTGGCTGTTTCATGGCTCCACCTTCCCCAGCTTTGAAGGCTGCTTCATTCCTTCCTTCAGAGGTCCCCTGACTGTTTCTTGGCTTCCCCACCGCTCCCCTGGCTGTTTCATGACTCCCGCATGCACCTTGATTGGCTGTTTCATGGCTCCCCTCCCAACTTCCCTTGATATTTCATGCAGGGACTCCCTTGGGGGGGTGCAGGGCCCATATACCCTCCCTTCCCCAGGCTCTGCACCCACCATGTCTCATCCTGCCCCTACTCCGTTCTTGGCTCCCCCTCCTAGGGGCTTTTGATTGTTTCAAGGCTCTACCCAGTGCACCTGGCTGTTTCATGTCTCCCCACACAGGCTCCCGCCCCCCCGGCTGTATCACATTTCCCCTCCACCCACACACAGCTCCCTGGACGATTTCATTGTTCCCCCTCGTAGGTCCCCCTGGCTATTTTAGGGCCCCACCGCAGTTTCCTGGCTGTTTCAGGGCTCTGCCCCAGTCTCCTGGCTGTTTCAGGGCTGTGCCAACACCTCCTGCTGCTGGCTTGGGGCCTAATGGCTGCTGTCTCCCTGCAGGTGTGAAGGTGCTGTTCCGGGTGGGGCTGGTACTGGTACGCTTAGCGCTAGGCTCCTCGGAGAAGCTGCGAGACTGCACAGGTGTGGTGGAGACGCTGGAGAAGCTGCGCAGCATCCCGGTCCGCCTGCTGCAGGAGGACACGCTTATGGCTGAGGTGAGGTGGGGGGCACAGACCTGGGCTTCTGCTACAGAGATAGGAACACTCACCAGCTTCCAGCAAGCCCTCCGCCTGGCCAGTCCTCCCCTGCTCCAAGCCGAATGTTAGGAGTCATTAAGAAAGAGACAGAGAAAAGGACACAGAATATATTATTGCCTCTGTATAGATCCATGGCATGCCCACAGCTTGAATACTGCATGCAGATGTGGTCGCTTCATCTCAAAAAAGTTATCTTGGCATTGGAAAAAGTTCAGAAAAGGGCAACAAAAACGATTAGGGGTTTGGAACAGGTGCCATCTGAGGAGAGATTAATGAGACTGGGACTTTTCAACTTGGAAAAGAGACGACTTATAGGGGGAATATGATAGAGGTCTATAAAATCACGAGTGGTGTGGAGAAAGTGAATAAAGAAGAGTTATTTACTCTTTCAAATTAACAGGCAGCAGGTTTAAAACAAACGAAAGGAAGTATTTCTTCACACACCGCACAGTCAGCCTGTGGAACTCCTGGCCAGAGGACATTGTGAAGGCCAAGACTATACCAGGATGCAAAAAAGAGCTAGATAAATTCATGGAGGATAGGTCCCTGAGTGGGTGTCCCCTGCCTCTGTTTGCCAGAAGCTGGGAATGGGTGACAGGTTGGATCAGTTGGTGATTGTTCTGGTCATTCATCAGGCCCTGTCAGAAGATGGGACACTGGGCTAGATGGACCTTTGGTCTGACCCAGTGTGGCCGTGCTTATGTTCTGCTCCCTCCCCACATCAGCCTTCCCGACTCTGACCTCGCCCTGTCTTGCCCCTACTCTAGTTCAGCTCCCGGAGGGGCTCACGCCTCTCTTGCTGCACGCTGCCCCCTACTAGACAGGGCGGGGCTGGCCAACTGCAGGCTCCTTCCTCACGAGGTCACAGCACCCTCTGTGGTTTCTCTTCCCTGCACACACCTGGCGGAGGGCCCTCACCCCCACACACATGGTCCTCCCCCAAGATGCAGACTCAGTGACATCCCTCCTCCCACCGCCATCTCCTACAGGTTAACGACGTGGCTGTCTCAGACCGCGACGTGGCGCGCGAATGCCGGGTCCAGCTGGCCAAGCTGCGCAAGGTCCGGCCTGACTTCAGGTACAGCCCGGAGCAGCGCCTGCCCAACGCCAAGGCCATCTTCGACGCCCAGCAACTGGAGGACGCGCAGCAATCTCGGAAGGAAAAGCACGCAGCACCCACCTTTCTCATCCCCGAGATTGTGGTGGACCCGCCCCCGCAGGTCCCTGGGAAGGAGCAGTGGAGACAGGAGCAGGAGCGGCGGAAGCAGGAGCAGGAGCGGCGGAAGCAGGAGGAGGCAGCTGAGAAGCAGGCGCGGAAGAAGAAGCTCCCAGTCAAGAAGAAGCTGGACACACGTGGCAAGACTTTCCACGTGGCCCAGCGCCCCACGCTCACCCGGGAGCAAGGGGGCAGGGAAGGGGAGGAGCCTGGCCCTGCCAAGAGAAACTCTGCCCCCTACCTGGAGACCTATTTCTGAATGGCAGGGG